ATGTACTTTAAGATAAACACAATAAGGAAAGAAAAGATATTGCAGACTAGAGGAACAAGAGGTAGCCAATGTAACATATGACACGTTTGTCCATTATTTTTGGCACATATCGACACACCAAGACACAACACACCATATTTGACACGTTAGATACATAGACACATCTTTCAAACCTCTCTTGTTGAAATGTCACAATAAAAAAACTTAAATGTCAAATAAAATCCCATCTCCCTCCTCTAAATAACGTACAAACGTGTCGTTTCTAAAAAGCTAATTTTGAGGTTCGTATTTCTGACTATCCGTATCAAACGGTGACCCACATCTTGGTGTCTTTGCAACATAGGTATAGATATTGTCAAATGATTAAATCTCAACAAAATAATGCGTCACTTAGGGGATGGTACAGGTTGCATTGGAGACTTGAGTAATGAATACAAATTATCTGATCGCCCATTGTCGAGCTAAGGAGCAACCATTTTATTTGATTCTCTCCATATATGCTCAAAGGACACAGATTTTTTAACATAACTCATGATTATAGTTTTGAAATATCACTAATATTACTAGCTTCTTAGAAAACAAGATAGCCTATTTCCAGATAATTTATTTACAGCAATTTGTGTTATATCATTTTAATACGCATTGAACAGTTAAAAAGTTCAAAAGAAGTACAATGTTTACATGCATACATAAAAACATAATTCAAAGATAATTGTTTTTATATAACATGTGTATGTAATATGCAATATTATCATGTAATTTGCGTACTTAGAAGGATAGACGATAACAAGAGAAAACAAGGAAGCCATAAATGAGCGAGCACGACATTAGGTACGGCATGAGAATGATAGTCACAATATTGGCATATACTCATTAAGAGTTTCAGCTTCTTATAAGCAGTCTTGACAATGAGTTTCTAGCATACATGGCTTATTAGTGCTACTAGCGAGGAACTATGTTACGAGGACACGGATATATTTGTCAGCATCTGACACAGATACGAGTGTCAAAAATACCAACCTCAAAATTGACCTTTCAGACACGACACATCAGTACATTATTCATAGAAAAGAGGAGGTGAGATTTTAGGTGACACTAAAATATTTCTATATTCTATAATAAGATTTCAGACAAAGAGGTTAACAAGTAATATCTAAATTTTCAAATTGTCAAGAATAAGTATCATGTCTTTGGTATGTAGACAAACACCAAAAAGCATAGACATGTCCATGCTACACAGGAGAGGAGTTTCTAAAAAACACTTCTCATGGTCCTAGATTGTGCCTCGAATATGAATCCAAACTGATACGTACCAGTCTTAAATACAAGTTTTCAGTGGGGCAGGTAATTTGGTAAAATCTTGGTAATTCAGATATGTAAATTCCTTAAGACCCTCAAAAAAAAAAAAAGAAGAAAGATGTCCACATCCTTAAATCACATTTAACTTACCCTTCAAACTTGCCTCCAAGTGAAATAGTACCAGAGAAATCAAACAAGCAAGTCCTAATATATTCCTAGAACACCCATAGGTTGGTCGAAATATCATGAACACCTTTGAGGTAAGACAAGGTTGTGCATACATGCCTTGTGTACAGGATGATTCAATCAACAGCTGTTCAGGAATCTATGCTAAGAAATCAGCACACCCAAGGATTGTGTTGGCGAGAGAGA